CCCTGTGCCAGGCTGAACCCCATGGCGGTTCTCAGGGTGGGCACCAGGTCACTGGGAGTGTGACCCCAGCTCTCCCCCACAGCTGGCCAGGGACAGTCATGGCTGGAAAGAGGTTGTGGTCACCAGTGGTCACCAAGGGCTTGGGGACAAGAGGGCCACACACGGCCCCCAGCAGACGGCTTACTGAGTCCCTAATGCAACCCAAGGACAGCTCTTGGGCAGCTGGTGGCCTGAGCACCTGGGGACTCCCCGCTGGCTGCTGCTGGCTGAGAGGGGAGGGCCACCGGCCAGCTTCCGGGTGTCACTTACATGCACAGGATGGCTGCCATGCTCGCAGGGTGGCTGTGCTACCCCAGGCCACACAGGCGCCCAGGCAAGCTGCAGGGGCAACTGCATCCAGATCCCTCCCCCACAGCACCACCTCGTTCTTCCGACCCACCCCCATATACTGTGCCTGCTGGACGGGCAGGGAAACTGAGACTGCATGAGGTTGTGCATCCACATGGTGGTCCACCTCTGGACACCAGTGCCTAAGCCGCCCTGCCCCCCTCAGCCCGTGGTCAGCACAGAGAGCAGCAAGCTCAGCCCGGAGTCACAAGTGTTGCCCCGAGGAAACCTCTCGCCCTGTCCTCACGGTATGCAATCCCCTTACAGCCCCATCTCACAGATGAGCAAAACTGAGGCCACTCTGTGTGTCGAGAAGGAGGCCTGGCCCACCCTGGCTGGGGCCTAGTCACCCTGCAGTCCCAGGGCACGCCCAGACCTCAGGACACCCCCTCCCCCTGCCGCAGTTCCCAACTGAAGGCTCCTTGTGCTGCAGGAGGAAAGGCTTTCAGCTTCCCAGTGCCGGTCCTGGCCTCGCTGCCAAGTCCCCGGGCAAGCCTGGGCCGGTGGCCCCGCTCCTTACCAGACTCTGGCTTGGGGCCAAGCGCCCGCGTTGGGAGCAGGCAAGGGGCCGGCGCACCAGGCAGCAGCCTGCACCAGGCTCCCCCTCCCACCTCAGACCCCTGACCCCACTGCTGGCCACCAG